TGTACCACAGTCCCCGTGCCAGGCACCGTACACATAATGGACCACAGTCCCTGCACCAAGTGCTGTACATGCTACAGACAGTGGTCCCTGTACTAGGTGCTGCACATACAATGGACCATAGTCCCTGCGCTGGGCGGGGATCTGGGTCAGGACTCTCCCTGGGGAATAAACCAACTCAGCTAACATGCCAGGCCAGAGAGAGGAAGGGACCCTGGGATGTGGTTATAAGTGACCCGAGGAAGGCATCACGTGAATCACTGTCACATTGGGCCACTCCGAGTGGAAGCCTGGTAGGCACCAGCACTTTGTCTGTGGGCACACCTCTGGCTCTGGCCCCCTCTCCCGCTGAATAACAGCGGAATCATGGAGCAAGCAGGGTCAGTCTCACATCCGCTCTCACACCTACAGTCCCTGGGAGGCCAGGCCCAGGCACAGCAGTGTGTGCTTTGCCCAAGGCCCCTAGGCCACATCCCCCACCACAGCTGGCCCGGAACCAAAGCCGACAGGTGGCAGAATAAACATCCCTGCTTCCTCCTCCCTTTCTGCAGGAAGGATCCTGTTTTTTTTTGCCAAGCCCTGGGTGTCTCTCTCATTACAGGAACAACCACAGCGATGATGATCTCACCCCACAGCAATGCTGTTACCATCTGGGAAGCCTTGGGATGTTTGCTTTCAGGACAGGGAGTTAAAAGAGGTCCAGAAACTCCCCCAGATCCTGTCTGAGCCGGCTGTGCCCAGTGCTCCGGGGTTATAAGAAAAGCTCAGCTCCCTGGGGCTGGACAGCGTCTCTTTGCCTGGAGCCCATGAGGGTTGGGGGTGGTCACTGCCAGTGCCTCTTCAATCCCTGATCTCCCTGCCCAGACTTCCAAGAAAAAAGGGTGGGGGGAGGATTCCCAGCCAATGTGCTGGGGATCATTGTGACACCCGCACCTGCTGGCTGGCAGAACAGAGCAAAGGGGCTTTCGAAGAACGTGCCTCTCAAATGCCAGCAGTCAAAGGGAGGGGGAATGCGCAGGCTGGAGCCGTCGGGCAGGCAACAGCAAGGGGGGCAGATGTCCCTGGAGAAGAGGCACCACAGCAGGGTCAGAGCTGAGGCATGGGCTCAGAGCTCTCTGCACAAGTGCTCACTGCTTTCCTCTGCTCAAATGGCATTGAGTGGCCTAACCAGCAGGCTCCAGGCTAATGCCATGGAGGCTTTTGCATCAGGTCTACCCTTGGGAGGGTCTATGGGTGCTAGGTGTTCAGGTGCAGGGGGCAGAGAGGGATGGAGAACCCAGGCTGTTAAAGCTAGACAAAAACAAAACAAAAAACCCGCACACCTGCACTGCTCTAGGGTGCATGTTTTCCCATATGGAAGTGAAGGTAGGTTTGAGACCAAGGAAAATCCAGGTCTGTGTGACTTGAGTCACTCTCTCTCACACCCTCACCTCTTGCCTGGGGATGATAATACTGCCCTATGTAGGATGCATTGAAATACGATGGTGATGGTCTGGGTTTCTAAGAACCCTCTTCCCACTGAAATTAATGGAAGCCAAGCACCTAAATACCTACAACCAACTGGCCCAACACAGCCATCACTGCAGCTAAGAGAGAAAGATTAATAATTAAAGCCTAATCTCTCGGTGAGTGATGGAAGCCTCATTGCTTGGGAGATCGAATAGATTTCACGGGCCAATCCTTTATCTGCCGTGGGTCAGAAGGAGCTGGATTAGGTTGTTTCCGTGTTTGGTTCCCATGGAAGTGGCAGCCTGACTCTTGATCACGTTAGCCCCTTGTGCCTGTCAAGAGCAGAATCATGCCCTCCCAGCGAGGTTTGCACAACAGTTGCACAACACCCAAGAATTTGAAGCATGATTTAAGCACTGCTATTGATGGGATGGTTAGGAAATTGCCTGCCCTTCCATCAACAGAGAGCAGGAACACAGGAGGCAGCCATGTGGAACAGGTCCACGATGGGTGCCACGCTGGGCTTTTGCACAGCATAACTTTTTGCAAACAGAGCCAACGGGTGAGACATTACATGGGAGCCAGAGCAGAGCTGGCCATGGCAGCCGCCTGGTTATGGTTTCAGTCTGGAACCATGGAAACTATTACATCAAGCACTGAACGCTGTCGCTAGGCGCTTGAACCTTAAAAACTCGTTTGCTGGAAAATTTCCCCCCCCCCCCCCCCCGCGGCCCCCCGCGCGGCACCTGTTGCGGAAAAACCCCCCCCCCCCCCCGTGGTGAACCTTAGGTCAGTACCACCAAAGCCCTGCGAGACAAAAGCCCAGCTGGGTTATAAATAAGCCCCATATACAAGGATCCTTGCTTCTGCAGTGCGTTTCTAGCCACAGCAGCTTGCAAGAACTTGAACTTTCCCATCTAGGCTCCTGCCTTGCTTAAATCTTGACATATTTACTAGCTGGCAGGCCCCGAGCCATTCAGGAAACCCACTGGAGCTGGGCAAAGATGCAAGGCAAGTGCCCTTCTGGCCCAGACTAGCCACAAGAGGGCACGGAGAAGGACTCGAGGGGCAAAGCTGGGTTTCAAGGGATCTGTACTGAGCGAACAAGTAGGCCCCAAAGGCCTAAAAAAAAAAAATAATCACAGAAAATTCCTCCAGCAATTAAGTGCAGGATGGAGAAAGGTCAACCAGCAACGGGGTCGGGGAGAACCAGCCTGGTTTGATGTCCCAGCTGTCACACTGCATTCCCTCAGTAGCTCTAGGAGATTCAGGAGTCCAGAGCTCAGTGGAGAGTTCCAAAGTGGCTGTGTGGGTTTGGATGCCCCACCCACATCCAAATCCCATAAGCAGAACTGACAAACTGAGCTGTAGCATTTTTGGCTGGGTTACATCCCCAAACTGAAAAGGTAGCTGGGATCAGCAGGATCTGGGGAATCTTGGACCCGGGAGGGTGTGGTTAGGGGAGACAACACGTAAAGGAGGCTTTCACAGGTGGCCTTTGCTACTGCCCTTATCTGCTGGCCGCTTTTCATCGTGGAGGATTCAAAGTACAAGTAAATATTACACTTCCGTGTCAGGAAAACACTAAAACATCCTTTGCCAGCAAGCCATCTGGCACTGCAGAGAACCTGCCCCAGAAGGGGAGCTGCCTGCCCTACAACCCCCACCAGATCTGCTTCTCTGCCTTCTGCTCCCCCTGAATCTGCCACTGCTTTCTGCTCCCTGACCTGCACTCCCCATCCGATCTGCTTTCTGTTCCTCATCTGCTCTGCTCCCTGCTGTCCTATGCTTGCTGCCTTATTCACTTTCTGCTCCCCTGATTATCTGCTCTGCTGTCACTCTACCTACCAGATGTGCAACTCTTCTTTCAGCTCCCCACCTGATCTACAGCCCTGCTTTCTGCTCCATGCCCTTTGCTTGCTGCCCAACCTGCGGCTTTTTACTCCGACCTGTGCTCCCCATCCAATCTGCTGCTCTGCTTTCTGCTCTGTCTGATCTTCCATTCTTCCTGTTCCATATCACACTTCCCACGATCTGCCACTGCTCCCCAGCTGATTTACCACTCTGCTTTCTGCTCCCTGCCCTGTGCTTACCACCTGATCTGCAGCTATGCTTTCTGCTCCTTCCCTGCCCCAATATGCTTTCTGCTCCCTGCTGCACACTGAGGCTGCCCATGCCATGGGCTGGCCACCCTTAGTGTAGACATTTCTAGAGCACCATTTAGAAAAGCAGGGCAAGGGAATAAAGTGAACCCAAACACTTGAATCAGAAGCAAGAAGAAAGCTAAGGCTAAAGCCTGGATAATAAAATAAGGTTTTATTAACTAACACTTCAAAGGGAAAAATAAAACAATAAAGGATAGACTTGATCTTTTGAGTCTGCTGTTTGCTGAGGCCCTTTAAAGACAGACAGGAAGTTTCCACCCCCCCTTTACCAAAGTTGCAGTGTTTTGTATTGGAGCCTTAGCAGCAGCATGTTATCAGGAAGCAAAAACAGGTCTGACCCACTTGACACCCATTACCTAGAAACGGAACAGCCCAGTGCTGCAAAGGGGTTTGTTATGCAAAAAAAATAAATTGCTATGCAAGCTTCAAATTTGCATGTTTCCATAGCAAAGTCCCAACTTTGCATGAGTGTGCTGGGCTGTCAGAGGAGTGCAAGTAGTAGCAGCCTTAAAAACAGATGGAAAAAAAAAAAAAAAAAACAAACCCCCACACCCAGGCCACTGGGTTTCTGCATGCAGGAGTGGTTGGCCATGTCACAGAGGACAGACATCTTGGGCCTATCCACCTGATTCAGTGACAGCTGGACCTGTATGTGCATTCAGAGCGGTGCAGTGAAGGACAGAGCATGACCTAAAGGCACTGGACACCCACTATGTCCTTGCCCCCACTCTACGCAAGCTGGGAGGTCAGCAATTCTCAACCAGGTGCTTTAAGACCCTTGCAAGGGTGCTTGCCACACAATGGCCGCACCATTAGGCATGCAACAGTGATTCACAAGATAAACCCAAAGATTTCATGTAGTGTTAAAAACATCCTGCTCTGCTGTGGCTTTTCTGAGCACTTTGCAACATAAGGGCTGCTCTGGTACTTTCTGGTAGTCTGAAAGAGGAGTGAAAGGTCTGAGGGTGAAAGGTGTGAGATGGTGTTTTCCAAGGGGGCCCTGGAGTCTAAGAAGGGGCTTCTTGGGTCTAAGAAGGTTGAGAATCATTGCTTGAAGTCAAAGGCTGCCAAGACTCTAGCACTTACCCAGTTTTAGAGAAGAGCCTCAAAGGGTCACGTGGCAGTGTTATCAAGCTGCTGTCTCAGAACCCAGGCATTCTTCTATCGGCATCCACTTCCACAGGAAAGTCTGCAGTGAAGAGGGGGAGGGGGAAGGGGTCTGTGCTTTAGGATAAATTCATGTCATGGTTTGAGGTCTCCTTGATTTGGAAATAAAAAGGATCCTTTCCCTCCAGCCAAGAGCTTAAGATTATCTTGCAACTTGGCTGCTCTACTGTGCAATTAATAGAAGCCCCTGGCTAGGGGCTGTTTAAATATAGAGGCCAAACGTCATATGCTTATGTGGTTTATTTTCGTAGGAGACTGTGCACAGGAAAGCATACCAACCAGCCCAAGTGGCAGAGGAGCTAGGATCTAATAGAGCAAGCACATTTCCTGGAGGAGGTGGGGAACATATTTACTTTGTACACAATTTAGCCTGACATTCAAGCAGGGCAGGAAATGCTGATGGAAAAAAACTGACACCCTTCAAATAAGAAAACTAGATAAGAGTTGCAGCCATGGTGCATTCAGGCTCTAAACCAGCCGCTCCCTTTGTGGCTAAGCAGGGCTCAGCCACCCGCTGCAACCGGGAACGCCTTCCTGCAGCCCTGTGTGATGTCTGTGCTGCACGCCTTGCCTGCAAGGGCTGAAGAGCAGCTTCCACTACCTAAAGCGAGGATTCAACCCCCTCCTCCTCAGAACTGTGGTCTCTTGGATTCATTTAACTCTCAAAGCAAGCTGGTAGCTGGGGGCACAGGCCTGCAGCATACTTGGGGGTCACGAACACAAGCACAGGCATTCTCAGATCCCCATTGTAGTGAAGACCCTTTGCAGAAAGTTTAGGGACAGCTGGAAGCAAGGAGACAAAGGAGGATCACAGCATAAACTGGTGGGTTGTCACACCTTCCTGGGGAAAGGTCCAAGGCTGAGTGGAATAGCTTTGGGATTATAACTCAGCAGAGTTGCCTTAGCTTCTATGTAAAGGAAGTACAACAAAAAAGTTGCTACCGCATAACGGAACAGAAAAACATCATTTATTGACAAACCCAGGATGCTCACTTGAGTAAATAAGCAAGCCTCATGTTAGCACCATGTTTAGTCTCAATTTAGTTTTACATTAGCTTCCAGCACTAGGCAGGTTAATCCTCACCGCATTCAAACCTCACTCCGACCAAATTCGAGTGAAGCGGCTCTACAGAACAGGTAACAAGCCAGCTGCTGAACAGAGCTCTAAAACTCAACATCCAATCACCCTGCCAACCATGTCCAGCCTGAAGTTTAACCTGCTGAAGGACTGAATTTAGACTGTCAGGTTAAGGGATGCATAGTATTGATCAAAGATTCAATCCGATTCAGCTGTTTTTATTGTTGCAGAGATTGTTACATTCAAGTAGTTCACCTTCAAGTTGGGTCTTTAAGAAATAGTTAAAAAATAAATGCAGAAGGAAAAGGAAACAACTGCCGTCAGCTGTTGCTAAGACGGGCACCCCCAACTGAACCTGAACTAGATAAAAAATAAAATTAGAATCTTAAACGGTTGCCAGAAAAGGTGACAGGACACAGAGAACCAACTGGGTTCCTGATCTTTATACCAAGGAAGTAGTATTGTCACCAGGCCACAAGGAAGAGAGCTTCTGGAAGGCAAGTCAAGAGAGAAGGTTTGGTTATAGAAAAATGCTACAATGTCTGTGAAGTGGTCACAATTCTGGAGCCATATTCAAAAGTCCTCATTACACCTTTATCAAAAAGAGATAAATCTTTGTAAAAATGTACATATGCTACAGTTTCATAGACATTTACACGGTTCTTTCTGTACAGCCTCCCCACCCACAAGTTTTTACATACTTACAAATGCACTCCCCACCTCATCTTTAGCCTCAGATGTTTTTGTGATCTGAGGGGGCAATTGTTACTGCCTAGAGAGCTAACATACAATAGGCTGAGGCCTTTTAACAGGCTATCAATAGTAAAGTAGCTACAGCAAGGAGGTCAGGGCTTTTGGCTTTCAAGGCAACTGAACCCTTCTATTGCTCATGGAATGTATGTGGTGATTGGCATCCAAATGCTTCTAGTTTAACAAGAAAGCTGGTCGTTCCAGACCTAATGAATGCTAAGGCCCTATTTATTCCCCAGTAGCCTACAGTCAGGACTGTGCTAAATTAAAATGAAACCCATTCCACACATGGCCATCATTCCAAATCTAACAAACTCAAGAAGTCCAAGACAAAAAACAAAAGAAAACCAAAACAAACTCCTGGTGCACATAGACTTGCTCAGGGGAACCATTCCACTAGGGATTTAAAAAAAAAAAAAAAGAGTCTATTTCTAGTCCTCTTATGCTTTCAGTTGTGATTCTGCCTTGGAAGATGTGGAATACTGTCCTTGTTTTTTTATCCCTCCATTTTCTGCTCCCGTTAGCAAAAGAAAATCCTTGTTGGTATCCTCACTCTGATTGGATGACAACCTTCCTGTATGCAAGAGGACCAATGGGATTCCCAGATGTGATCCCTCAAGAACATATTCGTAAATACTCCACAGTTGAAAGCGTGCAGGTGTCTAGCTCCAGTCTCAAGTACTAGCTCGCTTGGAATTCAGTCACTGACCCCATGTTCCGGGGCTCACCGTATCATATACGCCAAGCTTGCTCCCAGTCCAGCCACGCCTGCAAAGGCCATCAGAACATTTCTGATGCTACCTTCTAGATCCTCTACATGGAAGAATTCAACAAATCCCTCCTAGAAGAAAGAATTGAAGCATTAGTTTCACCACCAGCCAACCCAGACTTTTCTCCGGGGCTCACAATCCATTTGCCTTCGGGAATGACTACTGTTCCCACACCAGCACAACACTGATTACAAAGTAACCTTGTAGAGGGAGGCTTACATCAGTGAAAGAAACAAGGAGCGGCACTGTAACAGATGAAGGGAAGTGGTTTGGAATTGGGACCTGAACCCAGAAGCTCAAAGCAAGTGAATTCAACCTCCTTGCTCTCCAGCTAAAACTGGGGGGATACATCCACTTGCTTTTCCTAAGTGCTCTTGAATTAATGGGAGAAGAGTGCTCAACATGCAGCCAACATCACAGGGCCCTGTATCATTTGGACAGGGCCATAAACGTGCAGCCTGCCTGCACTGCATCAGCCAGGGATTTAATCAGCATGGGAACTCAGCCTCTGTACACACCTAGGCATCACAGAGTTTGGTGGGGATAGGACAATATTACCAGGCTGAGGGACAGCACAATCATTAAGCACACTCAGTACCTGCGGCAACTCACTTACCCAGCCTCGTTGGCTGACTAGCCAGTCTCGTTTGTCTGTCACAAGCAAATCTGTGATGATCCCTGCTAACGTGTTGATGCAGTTCTCCTGGTTTATGCTTTTCAGGTGCTTTGCAACAAAGGCACCAAAAGAGATGAGTGTCACCACTCTCCCCCAGTTTGTTACCCCATCACTGAACATGTGGGTTGCAACTGCTGATACGGACTGCAGATCCTCCTCATTCCTGATTTCTAGCTTCCGGAGCATCCCTGAGGAAAAGACCAGCGTCAGAAACAAGCACATACTGGAACTACACAAGCACCACGCTCCTGAGCCCCACACAACCTGGTCCTTGCAGAATATTTGCAGCCAAACATTAGCTGGTTTCCCAAGGACATTGTCAGGCTGATTAGAGAAGCAAACCCCCCTCTGCCAAAAGACGCAAGAACACAGGGCAGTCACCATCTGCATAGGCAAGAGTTCAGCCCAGAGGCTTTAATGGACAATTAACAGAACCATTTAGGTCACTGTCATGAAATTATTTCCAAGAAGGGACCGAGTGCTGCACACACTTACAGATTTGCAATAAAGTCTGGAGCAGTCAGATGTAGCCTGTCAGTCTTGCAAAAAGCCTTGTGTGGAGAATTTAAAGTTCCACCAGATTTAAAATAAGGAAGAAAGAGCATCATGACTGCTTCCTTACTTGAAAAATGTGAACTTTTTACATAAGGAGAATTAAGACTCTGGCTTGCTGTGAAACAGAGGCATCTCTGTTATTAGGATAACTGCTAACCATTTTGACCTACAGGAACCCCTCATGAATAAGCACAAGACATGCATTTCAGAAACCGAAACCTTTCTTGTTATTATTCAAGTTGGCAGAATGCTTCCTCAAACCAGCTTCTCTTCTTAACAACCACAACGGAGTTTAGCAAGTGCTCGAAACTGTTTCGTTGCCCTGAATCATTGCTTATTCCAGCAACATACCCAGAACTCGGGCAAGATTATACAACTGGATTAAAGCCAGCCGCATATCTATCGTCTAATTCTGTTCCCATGGAACGAAGCCCAATTAAAGCCTTTTTATGCTTCAGTCTGACAGTCAAGTACCCTATGGAAAGTCTGAATACTTGAATGGTTAAGAGACCCTGAATGTTAGAAGAGCTGAGGGTTCTTTTCAAGGAGATCAAATTTCTTTCCATTTCCTTTTAAACCAAAGATCACATGGAAGCAGGGTTAGAAGGCACTGCATAGGGTTTAGTTCAGACCCCTGTGCAAGGCAGGATCTTCCCAGCCACCCCAGCCAAGTGTCTGTCCAACCTGCTCAGGAGTATTTCCAATGATGGAGATGCCACAACCTCCCTAAGAAAGCCTGTCCCAGCTGGCTGACCCCCATCAGCAGAAAGCTCCTCATCTCCAACCTCAATTTCCCCTGCTGCAGCTTGAGGCCATTGCTCAAGCAAAACGAAAGAAAAAATCCATCTCCGTCCTCTAATCGCTCTCTAAGATTTTATGGAATCCATAATTCTATAAACCCTCTCTAATTGTCCTCGCTATAATCACCCTTCAGGTTTAAATGCTACCTTCACATGCTCTGTGGTGGAGTATAGAAGCAAGAATACTCCTATCCCAGAAGTAGCACTGCTCTAGAGGGGCAAGGATACTCCTATCCTAGGAATAGCACTGTTCAAAAGCATCACTTCAAAGGCCTTTACAGGCTGGTGGTTACCACGGTGTCACTTAAGCAAAAGAATCATGAAATGAAGGCTATGGTTGAGAAACTGAGTGCTTAGTGCAATAACTCTTTC